GGGTTTGAACCGCCAGCCTTCTGGTTAGCAGTCAAGTGCCTTAGGCACTATGCTACCAGAGATTAGAGAAATGTAAACCAAAACCACATTGAAATACCATGTCATACCCATTAAAACCAAAACACCCAAATTCATTGCCATCAATGATGGTTAATTCTGACTTATAGCGACGCTGTAGGACAGAGTAGAACTGCCCCCTTAGGGTTTCCAAGTCTGTAATCTTCAAGGAAAGAGACCACATCTATCTCCTATATGGCAGCTGGTAGGTTTGAACCACTGACCTTTCGGTTAGCAGTTGAGCTCTTAATCACTGCATCACCAAGGTTCCTTTCATATCCATTAGGCATATGATAGTTATATCTTGTAGAGATGTAGAGAAACTACAATCTTCATACATTGGTGGTGAGAATGTAAAATGGTATAGCCATTTTGGAAAACAGTTTGGCATTTCCTCAAAATGTTAAATATGGAGTTAACATAAAACCAAAAAAGAAGCCCAAACTCACCACTGTCGAGTCAGATCCAACTTATAGCGACCCCTCCTTGGGTTTCTGAGGACGTATCACTATGGAAGTAGATTGCCCAACCTTCCTTCTGAGGAGTGGCTAGTGGGTTTGAACCACCAGCCTTCTGGTTAGCACTCAAATGCCTTAGGCACTACACCACCAGAGCTCATATGACCTAGCAATTATACTTCTAGATAAAGAAGAGAAATGAAAACATGTGCCCTACAAAAACATGAATGTTCATGGCAGCTTTATTATTTTTCTTTTCTTTTTTTATTTAAATTGTGCTTTGGGTGCAAATTTATATAGCAAACTTATTTTACATTCAACAGTTCATGCACATTTGGTTTCATGGTCCCAATTAATGTCCCGAACCGTAACTCTTCTCCCCATGGCTACCCCCTCCTGTGCCCTTTTTAACTATGCATTCCTGTCCAGCCTTCCCTTTATGTGAATGCTATCCCTTGATCCAAGGGGTATATCTCCCTAGCATAGGTGGGTGCATTGACCTGGGGTAGGGGTTCTGTATGTGGGTCTTTCTACTGTTGGGCTGACAGCCAATCCATGTGAGTCCATTTCTAGGCTTGAAGGGTAACCCGGGGCCATAGTCTCAAGGGTTCCACCAGTCCCTACTCAACCAGTAATCATGGTCATTTTTGTGTTTTTGAATTTCGTCCCACATTTTTCCTCCCACTATATCCACATGGCAGCATTATTCATAATTGTCAGAAAGTAGACACAACCCAAATATCCAACTGATGAATGAATAAATGAAATGTGGTACATTTTTGCAATAGACGTACTGATACATGTACTACAACCAATCATGCTACAACCAACATGGATAAACCTTAAAAATATTATGCTAAATCAAAGAAGGCTGTCACAAAAAAACCATATATTGTATAAATCTATTTATATAAAATATCCACAATAGACCAATCTTTAGAGACAGAAAGTAGATTAGTGATTGTCTTTGGTTAGGGGTGGGAGGAGAGATTGGGAAAGGTTTGGAAAAATGTGGAGTAACTGCTAATGAGTCTCGTTTCTTCCTGGGGTGATGAAAATATCCAAAGATTGATGGTGGTGATGGCTACCCAACTCGGTGCATATACTAAATAACTGAATTGTAAAATGTAAATGGGTAAACTGTATGGTATATGAATTTTATCTTAACAAGGCTGTTTTGAAAAGAAGGAAAAAATAGGAATGACTAAATGGCAGATAAATTATCTACAGGTGATAGCAGACCACATGCTAAACATTACTAGGTGAGATGGAGGCTGATTAAACACAATGACATGCTATTGTCATTCTCTACCCATCTCCCAACCAAAATAAATAAGCAAATATAAACACATCTGTGTGGGTTTATAATGAGCTCTGGTGGTGCAATGCCTAAGGCATTTGGCTGCTAATCAGAAGGTTGGTGGTTCAAACTCATCGTGGAAGAAAGATGGGGTAATCTACTTCCGTAATGATTTATCACCTTGGAAACCCTTATATTCACATAGTGGGGGTCACTATCAGTTGGAATCAATGGCAGTGGTGGTAGGTTTGTAATAAGCCAATCCCCCCTTATGTTAAGCACAGGTCAGGCCCTTACTAGAGTATGTCCAAATTTGAAAACTCACCAGCCACTCCTTGGAAAAAAGGTTGGGCAATCTACTTCTGTAGTGATACCACCTTGGAAACCCAAGGAGGGGTCGCTATGAGTAGGATCTGACTCCAGGGCAGTGAGTTTGGTTTTGGTTTGGGTGGCACAGTGCCTAAGGCTTTTGATTGCTAACCAGAAAGTTGGCAGCTGAAACCCACCTGCGTCAGGAAGATGGGGCAATCTACTTCTATAAAGATTTACCACCTGGGAAACCCAAAGGAGGTCGTTACAAGTTGGAATCAACTCAATGGCAGTGAATGTGTGATTTAATACTTAAACAGTGATGTGATAATATGGAAAGTTTTGCAAAGGGGAACTATCGTTGTTGTGTGCCATTGAGTCGACCCCGACTCATAGCGACCCCTCCTTGGGTTGCCGAGGCAGTAACACTATGGAAGTAGATTGCCCAACCTTCCATCCAGGGAGTGGCTGGTGGGTTCCAACCACCAGCCTTCTGGTTAGCAGTTAAGTACCTTAGGCACTATGCTACCAGAGCTCCTAAAGGGGAACTAAGATATAATAAAAGTGTCCTCAAAAGTGCCCACGTTTCAAATGGATTGTAACTGAAAAAAAAAAAAAAAGCAGCAGCAGCTTTTTGAATTTTGAATGCATTTTCATAGAAATAATGTTACCAGTTATTACTTATATTCCTAAATCTGCCAAGAAAGACAATTAAAAGGCTTATGTCATTACATTAGGTGTGTAGTTGTCATGCAACTACCAAGATGGAATAAGCAGACTATCAAAAAATTTCTAATCCTGCAGTTAGCTGTAACAGTCTTTGACACAGAACAAGAAGCATCAATTCAGGTAACCCATTCATAATCTACAGCAGCATTTCTAAGGAAACTGAATCCCAATTTCTGAAACTAGGAAGATTTCTCCCTTCTGTGGAGAACAATGGCAGCCCTTCTCTATGTGAGCATGAGCTGAGGGGGGACTGTTAAGCTATGTATTCCAGGACATCAGTGTCTTACTTATTCTCTACATCTTCAAAAATGACTGTTTCACTATATCAGCATAAGAAATCATTCTACACTCCGGAATCAGAAGAGATAATAATTTAGATTAGTGCTTAAGAGTTTCGAATTGAGAGACAAAAAATTAAAGAGGTGATGGTGGAGAAAAACAGGAGTCCCAGAATGCTCTTTGTGGGGTTGTTCAAGGGGACCACAAGAACGGAAAAGGAAATAAATTAGGATTGGTAAATTTACAAAAGGTAAACTCAGCAACCTTCATATATGTGAACTTTTCCTGTTTGTTTTAAAAGAAAGTAACTAGTAATGATTCTCTATTTCCATTGAGCGTAGAACAAAAGGAAATGGGTATAAGAACAAAGACTTTAAATTTGGCAAATGAAAATTTTTCCTCAATAGATAGCAATGAGAAAAATAGAAATGAGTTGCCAAGAGTGACACTCATTGCCATTAATGAGTTGATTCCAACTCACATTGAACCTACAGGACAGAACAGAACTGTCCTCGGATTTCCAAGGCTGTAATCTTTATGGAAGCAGACTACTTCGTCTTTCTCCCTCTGAGTGGCTGGTAGATTTCAATCGCCAACCTTTTGGTTAGCAGCCAAGTGCTTAACTACTGCACCACCAGGGCTCCATGCAGAGAGTGACAAGCAGAATAATTGTCCCATCAAATTGTCCACATCCAAATCTCCAGGACCTATGATATGTTAAGTGCCAAAGGGGAATTAAGGATTCTAATCAGCTGTTTTTAAAATGGGATTATCTTGGGTTATGCAGGTGAGTCCAGTGGGATCACAGAGGTCCTTAAAAGTGGAAGAGGAAGGTGAAGAGGAAGGCCAAAGAAGCAATCTTGATTTACCCTTAATCTCCTTTCCCTTATTAGAATGATTGCCCCTAAACATTCTAAGTAACTATGATAGTCTCCCTAATCTACTACCCAAAATCTTACATAAACTGAAATGGTTTGTGTTCAGCTACAACCAAAAGGTTGGTGGTTCGAACCCATGCAGAACCATGGAAGAAAGGCCTGGAGATCTGCTTCCATAAAAATTACAGCCAAGAAACTCTCATGGAGCTCAGTTTTACTCTGTAACACATAAGGTCCCAATGAGTTGGAACCAGTTCCATGGCAACTGTTTAGTTTAATAACAGTTATATAGCTAATTCTCATCAGGGTGCTAGGCATTGTGCAATACAAAATGTGTGTCATTAACCATCTTCAACAGCTGAGTCAACCAGTTAATCTTCAAAAACTTTTGGTGGCCAGCTGTGAGCTTTCACATTGAAATTTAATGGCTGTTTCTAAGAAGTATGAACAAAAGTGCATGCTGCTTTTTTTTTTTCTTTTACAGGGGTCAGGGAAGTAGTTTGGAAAGAGGATAATAGGCATTCAATACATCAACTGTTACTGCATTTTAATCACATAATCAGGTATGCCTTTCAGGATTATGTGATTAAAATAATTACAAATTCGGCTTATATAAATGCATTTTGAAAAATTTTCCAGTGTTTTTATCACCAAACTGGTCTCGAGTGGGCTGCCTTTCAACTCAAACATCATAGCAGGGCTTCCTAACAGTTCATTCTGGTTGTCCACTCCCTCCTCTCCTCCCTTTCCATTTCCACCCCAGATACACTGAATTAGAATCTACATTTTAACAAGATCTTCAGGTGATTCTTACAGATACCAGGTGATTTTTGTTGTTGTTCTTGAGAAAATATACAGCCAACTACACCAGTAGTTTCTACATTTACAATTTAGTGGCATTGATTACATTCTTTGAGTTGTGCAACCATGCTCTTAGTCCTTTTCTGAACTGCTCCTCCCTCATTAACACAAACCCATTGACTGCTAATCAGAAGGCTGGCGGTTCAAACCCACCAGCCACTCCTCGGAAGCAAGGTTGGGTGATCTACTTCCATAGTGATACAGCCTCAGAAACCCAAGGTGGGGGTCGCTATGAGTTGGATCTGACTTCACGGCAATGGTTGTTTGCATTGCATTGCCCACCCCCGACCAAGGTTTCTATCTAATGCTTCCAGTTGCTGTTGTCAATTCCATGCCATATAAACCAAACTTAGGCACTACTTGACTGCTAACCAGAAGGCTGGTGGTTCAAACCCACCAACCACTCCTCAGAAGGAAGGCTGGGCAATCTACTTCTGTAGTGATACTGCCTTGGGAACCCAAGGAGGGGTCACTATGAATTGGATCTGACTCCATGGCAAATAACACCACCACCACCAGAGCTCTTTCCATGCCGTATACAAAAAAAAAAAAAAAAAACCCAAACTCACTGCCGTTGAGTCGGATCCTACTCATGGCGACCCCTCCATGGGTTTCCTAGGCAGTCTCACTATGGAAGTAGACTGCCCAACCTTCCTTCTGAGGAGTGGTTGGTGGGTTTGAGCTAGCTTTCTGTTAGCAGTGAAATGCCTTAGGCACTCCGCCACCAGAGCTCCCTGCCATATAGCTTGTTGTTGTTGTTATGTGCCCTCGAGTCAGCCCCGAGTCATAGCGACCCCTCCTTGGGTTTTTCTAGGCGGTATCACTACGGAAGTAGATTGCCCAACTTTCCTTCCGAGGCTAGTTCTTAAAATAACATAATGCTCAAGGCCTAACCGCAAGTGCTTATTATAATTCACCTGAAGATATTGTTAAACTGTAGATTCTGATTCAGTAATATATGGGATAGAAATGCACATTATCAGCAAAGGTCGAAACAGAATGAACCAGTTCCAAGCCTTTGTATCAAAGTATTTTCAACATTAACTATTAGCATTTACTGTCTACACGTGGAAAACTAGCAAAGCAGTCAGTCAAAACCTGTTTCCAGGTCTTCAGGTAAAGTGAGATTCCAAAACCAAATCCAAACTCACTGCAACTCATAGCGACCCCTCCTTGGGTTTTGAGGCAGTATCACTACTAAAGTAGATCGCCCAACCTTCCTTCTGAGGAGTGGCTGGTGGGTTTGAACCACCAGGCTTCTGGTTAGCAGTCAAATGCATTAGCCACTACGCCACCACGGTGTGAAGACTAGGGCCTAGCCACGTGTGTCTATGTTGGGTACCACGTGGAAGGTATTGGACCCTCCAAGGAAGCTCAGCCTCATCAGGCTGAAAAATTGCACAGCCCCAGGGATGGACACAGGAGCTCTGGTAGCATAGTGCCTAAGGCACTTGACTGCTAACCAGAAGGCTGGCGGTTCAAACCCATCAGCCACTCCTGGGAAGGAAAATTGGGCAATCTACTTCCGTAGTGATACTGCCTCGGAAACCCAAGGAGGAGTCGCAATGAGTCGGGTCCACTCGATGGCAAACAACAACAGGGGTGGACACATTTGGGTTTAACACACAAATCCGGCAGATCATATGCAAAGTTCCCCATACTAAAAGCTTCCTCCGCTCATTACCGCTTTAAACAAGTTGGCAGTATTATTTTGCGGGGAGAGGTGGGTCAGAGACTTTACTTCCCCTTTCTGTGCTACAAATACCCCCAAATGGCTTCTTTAGCAACCAGACTTAACATCCATTTCCCGTCCTCTTGGAAGGCCATCGCTCCCTTTACACAAGGCACACAGTTCTCAGGGCCTAATGATGACGCTACACTAAAGCAGCAGTCACCAACCTGCCGGGCTGAGCTGAGGCAGAGCCACTTTCCTCGCCAGGAGAATGCAGCGCCGCACTAAGGGGGCCGCCATCTTGGAGCACACCAAAAGGAACGCCGGCCCAGGGGTTGCAGGCAGAGAAAGGGGCGGGGCTACAGGCAACCTTTTGGAGAGTCCAGAGTTGGACGAATCCCACTCGGCGCTCTCGGCTGTTAGGCCGACGCTCTGTCCCCCTCCCAGACTCCCCCGGTTGGTGCGACCCAGAACAGCATGGCTGCTGTATTTCACCCCTCCGAGCGAATCCTGCTACAGGCGCTGCGAAGTTGGGGACATCCTTGGGTGGGCGGCTCTGGTTTCTGCTGCTGCCGGTGCCCTCTCGGAGGTATCGCAGCTCCAGGCCTGGTGGGGAAATCGTGGAAGGAGGGGAGGGACTGTAGAGAACAGATCGTTAGACTCCAGGGGGCGTCACTTTGGAGGAGTAACAACAGCGTCTCTGTTACTCACTGTCCTGGAGTTGCCTTTACTCTTTAGTTGCACCTGGGTGTTGTGGATGCCCGCGTGTCCAAGGTTCGAAGGGCAGCTGGGCTGGGGTCTTGACCTTGGGACTGTCACTCGCTCACTGCCGTTGAGTCGTTTCCGACTTATGGCGACCTCTCCTTGGGTTTCCGAGGCGGTATCTCTATGGAAGTAGATTGCCTAACCTTCCCAGTCTTCCTTCCGAGGAGTGGCTGGTGGGTTTGAACCGCCAGCCTTCTGGTTAGCAGTCAAACACGTTAGGCACTATGCCAGCAAGGACTGTAGTACTCCCTCAAATGAGACGACGTTACACTGGGGGACCTGCCCGTCATGGGTGTACTTTTCTGCAGGTTTTGGGACGGAGGCTTTACCCTCCCCGGAATTGGAGTGTCAGCTCAGCAGCTAACATTCTGAAAGACACTGAACATGTTTTCTCATTTGTAAAATTATTCCTTAGCATCTTTATGGGAAGAATTAACATTTAAATATGCTAACTAACCAAAAGGCTGGCGCTTCAAACCCACCAGCCACTCCTCGGAAAGAAGGTTGGACGATCAACTTCTGTAGTGACACTGTCTGGGAAACCCAAGGAGGGGTCGGTATGAGGCGGATCCGACTGGACGGCAGTGAGTTTGGTTTTTGGTTTTAGCAAGCAATAATAACAAAAATACTTAAACTTTGTGCCAGGCATCGCTCTAACGCGTTTTGTATACGTGTAAATCCCAATTTACGACTTTTCGAGTAACCATTAACTGCAGTCTATTGTGGGTTTCTTTCTTTTTTGGGGGGTACATTAAATCTGTTAGTAATATATATGTTTTAAAATGTATCTTTAAGCCTATATGTAATGTTTCCAACCCCCAGTGACAAAGATCGGATTTATAAAGATGCCGGTAGTAAAAGGCAATGGCAATGAAAACTTTTTCAGAACGGAGGGAGTTGTTGGAATGGAACCCGTCCTAAGTTGGGGAGCACTTTTTTTTTTTTTTAATGCCTTTGTGACCCCTTGGGAGCTCTGGTAGCATAGTGGCTAAGACACTTGCCTGCTAACCAGACGGCTGGCGGTTCAAACCCACCAGCCACTCCTCGGAAGGAAGGTTGGGCAATCCTACTTCCGTAGTGATACTGCCTCGGAAACCCAAGGAGGGGTCGCTATGAGTCAGGGCTGACTTGACGGCACATAACAACAACAACAACATTGTGACCCCTTAACCAGCCGGTGAATGCTTATTTGTTCTTCAAATTCCAGCTTCTTGTCAACCCTACCTTACAGTTAATCACTAGCTCCTTATTATTGTTACTCTGTGCCTTGCACGTATCTCTACTGCTACATTTAAGCACTGCTACTGTGATGTTATTTATTTGCATGTGTACTTGGCGTAGTGCCTAAGGCATTTGACTGCTAACCAGAAGGCTGGCAGTTCAAACCCACCAGCCAGCCCCTGCTCGGAAGAAAGATTGGGCAGTCTGCTTCTGTAGGGATAACTGCCTCGGAAACCCAAGGAGTGGTCACTTAAGTCTAATTGACTTGACAGCAATGAGTTTGGTTTGGTTTTGGTATTTTCTTAGACTGTGAGTGATCTATGACTTGTTCACTCTCATATGCTTATGGGTTAGTACAGCTTCTATTCTACTGTTGTGTTAAGTTGAATCCATTCCGACCCACTCAGCGACCCTATAGGACAGAGAAGAACTTCTTCATAGGTTCCTAGGCCATAATCTTTATGGGAGCAGGTCACCAGGTCTTTTCACCTGCATAGCCACTGTTGGGCTCAGACTATCAACCTGTCTCAGCAGGAGACAAAATCATGTGGATTCTGCTGGAGTCCAGGTTTCTGGGTTCATGGAATTGGGGTGCCCCATACAGGCCATCTGTCTTAGGTATCCTTTTGAATCTTGATGGAACTGGGTCCTGGGAGTCACCCTTAGATGGAACAATAGCTTAGTGAGAGCAGCTTAGCGAAGCATTGGGTTCTTTTGGAAAATTATCTGTGTACAGCCGGCTTCAAGAAGCAGGTTACTCCAAGTAAAAAACCAAATTAAATACACTGCCATTGAGTCAATTCCAACTCCTAGTAACCCCCATTAGGTTTCCAAGGCTTTGAATCTTTATGGAGGCAGACTGCCTCATCTTTATTAAGTGGAACAGTTGGTGGATTTGAACCACCAACGTTTTGTTTAGCAGCCAAATGCCTTAACCACTATAACACCAGAGGGTTTGACTAGTAGTTGCTTTAAGATGTATGACATGTCCTTGGTGACTATTTCTATAATCTGCTGATGTGTTGATGTTATCTTCTGATACATTAACATAACAATGACTTATATAACTCACTTTCAGTGTCCCCTAGGTTGATGCTTTCTGATTTGAATCATATCTACTCCATCGTATCTATTCTATAAATATATTCTATTACACTAATTTTTGGTGTTTCTCTAAGAAATTTAGATTTTTGACACAGCCTATTACTTAACCATTGTTTTCACCAGGGCTACTGCTGTTGTTGTTGTTGTTATGTGCCATCAAGTCGGACCCGATTCATAGCGACCCCTCCTTGGGTTTCCGAGGCAGATCACTACGGAAGTAGATCGCCCCATCTTCCTTCCAAGGAGTGGCTGGTGGGTTTGAACCGCCAGTCTTCTGGTTAGCAGTCAAGTGCCTTAGCCACTATGCTACCAGAGCTACTGCTAGATGCACATATATCAGAATCTGGGGTGGAAAACATCAGCATATATGGTTTTGAAAATCTCCCTAGGTATTTCTGATATAGTCATTTGTCTCCCATCTCAATATACCTAGGGACCCCTGGTGGCACATTGCCTAAGGCATTTGACTACTAACCAGAAGGTTGGAGGTTCAAACCCACCAGCCACTCCTCACAAGGAAGAGTGGGCAATCTACTTCAGTAAAGATTTACTGCCTCAGAAACCAGTGAGATTCGCTCTGAGTCAGCATGGACTCAATGGCAGTGGGTTTGGTTTTGGTTTGGTTTATCTATCTCTGTGTGTGTGTATATATGTGTATGTACACATATCACACACACATAAAACTTGCCTGTTTGAGGATTTGTATTCGCTAGTAATTTGGAGATGTTCTCATCAGGGTTGCTGTCTGAGGGGTTGCTATAAACCTGACTAGATGGTTTATAATAGATGAAAATAAGATCAGTTAATTAATAAGATCCAATCAAACCCTGCTCATGTTATTTGTTAAGTCTAAAGCAATCAAAATAATTTTACTTTTTTTCTTTCTTTCTCTATTTTATAGCTAAAAGATACCTACTCACAGATAATATTATGAAATTAAAAGAATTTCAGTGTAAGAAGGTGGCTATTGCACATAATCTCCCTGGCACCAAAGGTAATAAAATCTATTTTGTTAATTCTTTCATTGATCTGTCATTCAGGTTTCCTCTATCTCTTTTCTATTCAGTCTCTCCCTCAATGAATTTATGCTCCACTGAAAAAAATTGAAACCATTTATTCTGAGTTTCCTAATCTAACCTTATATTCTCTTTGCATCTTACTTTTTACTATTGCAGAGTCTGCAGTTCTCCTCTTATTCCCTCTCCTGAGATTTCAGGAAAAAATACTGAAACTAGTGCTGCAGCCAGTCCTTTCTAAATCCTTGCCTCTTAAAGTGTAGTTTGAGGACCAGCTACTGAAGTTTTACATTGCAACTCCAGTACGTGCATACTTACCTATATATTAGTGAAATAAAATGACACAAAACAGGACTGTACATGGTACTACATTTTGATACTTCCTGTTCCAGCTGGAAAAGTCAATAGATCACACAAAGATTTCTTTAAAAAAGAAGAGAAAACTTGCATGAAATTGAATCTAGGATTTGCTTTGAAAAAATCCAGTGGGGTTAGGAAGGGTAGAGGAAGCAAAATGACCAACATTTTAATAATTGTTGAGGCAGAGTGTTGGATACAAGAGGGTTCTTTATAAAATCTTTCTGCTTTGGGTACGTTTGAAATATTTATTTTAAAAAAGCTAAAAACAAGAGCACCACAGTCCTAGTCCTGTTCTTTTCCAGTATCTGTGAAATCTTGTAGCATTCATTCCCTCCTTCCTGCACCCTGAGTTTTTCCCAGTACTTCAATCTCCTTCATAAACACAACCAAGTCTCTCTTCTCGCTAAAGGCTTCTGTTTGTTCCTAGTGATGCTTTCATCTACAGGCCCAGCTCCCCTTTGTCTCACTGGATAGCATTGTGAGCACCTGGTTAAAACTTCCTGCCTTCATGCCCTCCAGTCCTCCAGAAATCAGGCTTCCCTCACCATTCCACTAATAATACTATAATGTAATCCCACCAAGAACAAAAAATATGCCTTTGGGGTGAGTGACAATATATTAATCTCCAGTTTAGCAGAATTGATCTAGATTTCACTTCAGTCTTCCCTTTTTATCCACGTATTTGGAATGATGTGAGCTTTGCAGAATTAGCACTCCAGTTCATGGTCTAGTTGCTCTTCTAGTCATCATCGTCTTCATAAAGCTGTGAAGGTTGTGCACATGTTCTGCAAGGCAGTTAATATAGTCAGTGCCAGTCTGCTGCACTGGGCTGATCTTTATAAAACTCTGTAATCACTTCCTCATTATAAGAATCCATGATGGTACTATGCTATGTATCACATTATGTACAAACTCACCCCCCAGGCTTCCTGGCCCTTCCATAAGGGATCCAGTCCTTCCTGGAGTCTAATATAATTTCCTATTAACCTAGTCACAGTTCTCCCCTCACCACCTTTCAAACTTACCAGGTTCATTCTCAAATCTATGCTGATTTCCATATCTAGACTATCCCCCTAGTTTATCCAACCCCTGTCCAGCCCCTTCCTTCCTCTCTGGTATCCCTCCACTTCTACCAAAGATGGTCTGTTTGTCACTCAGCTCTGTCATCTCCTGTTTAGCTAATAATCAGTTGTGTGTCACCTCTCCATCATTGTTTTCAAATATACTCATATAAATGTGCCTTTTCTTCCCAAATAAACTCTAAGCTCATTGAGGACAGGAACCATATCTTGTCCTTTGTGTTGCACACAAAGACAGATACCTATGAGAATGAATCTGTGGTCAGCACTTATATGTGATTGACTTGTTTTAAAACAAATCTGTTGTTGAAATTTTGGATTCTTAAGGATTAAAGGGGATCAGATGTAAAGTCATCTCTCTGAAATCTTTTAGATTGGAAATTGTTTAGAAATGTTTAATAGAATAAATCCTCTTAAATCTAACAAGAGACAGAAAGGATGAAAATGAAAACAATAATGTCTGTGATTTACTGGCAGTTATTATATGCTGTGCTCTGTGCTAAATGCTTTGCGTGTATTATTTCAGGACAGGCTGCTGAGGTAGGTGCCATGATCCTTACTTTACATAGGAGGAATCAGGTCTCACAGATGCTAAGGTCTCTCCCACACCGCATGCAAATGATAAAGCCTAGATTTCAGCTGAGATCCATCCAGCTGTAAAACCTTGTGGTTATCCACGTGGTTGTCATGTGGTTCTACAGATAAAGATTGGAAGATCCACTGCATTATCTCACACCTACTGGGACTTCTTTCAAAATGTGGGTAGTGTCTGCCTCAGCCTGCAGTTTTTGTGTTTTCTGTGTATATTGTGTAGCTCCTGAAAGCAATACTCCTTCAATGCTGTGAGCATTGGAACAAACCCTGTAGACTTTTCTTGGCAGCTTGTGATGCTGAGAACAGCCTGGCCTGCTGGAAAGCAGATGCTTGCTTGGTGCCTGCCTTGCATCTCACTCCACAGTCTGATGAGAACACAGCCCTTTCCCAGTGCCAACAGACCATGTTTTCTTTGGTGTTTGACTGTCCTCATGGTTGATCAGAAATCATAAATTCTTTGCAGAAATGATGAGGGAAAGGGTAGACTGACCACCCTGAAATGATTCTGGGCTAAAAGTAGAGTTTGCTACTGTTTAGAGACTACCTTCTACCCCATGTGCATTATTCAGTGCTGTGGTATGCTGTCTCACAATTGAGTAAGGAGACATCAAAAAGAATGAAAGAGAAGTCAAGCATAGTCAAATGAAAGAAATGTGAAGTATTCTTGAATCATGTAGGTCAAACATTGTGGTAAAACCACCTTCAATTCATATTTTCCTTTCAGTTTTCTTGCTTGGTGCCCTGCCAATTGATGGTATGGGTACCTTGGGTGTGTTTTCTTTTTCCTTCCTCATTCCCTCCCTCCCACCCTTCCTTCCTTCTTTCCTTCCCTCTTCATGTGTCTCCTGTAGGTTCAGTTATTTGTGCTAAACTTCTGGGACAGTATTTTTCAGACTTTAGTATGCATAAGGATCACCCAGGGAGTAGAAAATGCATATTCTGTGCTCCCCACCCCCGCAACACACACACACACATAGACACATCAGAACCCCCAGAGAGTCTTCCTTAGAAGGTCTTGAGTGGGGCCTGGGACTGTGCCCCAGATGCCCCAGGTGCTTTATTTCAAGGCTGTGTTCAGACACACTGTCCTAGGGGAGGTCAGCTTGAGGGAGCTTCCATGACCCCCCCCTTCATACCCCTTTGCAGTGAGCCAGGTTCAGGTGTCCCTTCTTCCTCAGGGAAGCCTCCTGATGGTTCCAGCCAGCCCTAGTGATGACTATCATACTGTGCTTTCTTCCAGAAACCTATTTGAGAAACTTGGAAGAGAAACTGACCCAGAACAAACTCATCTTGAAGGAGGAGTTGAAAACCTTGCTTCATTTGTGTGACTCCCGGGATGATATGCAGCTGGCTAAAAATGTCATTTACAGGTGAGGCGTTTCTCTAGGATCTTGCCAGCCTTCATCTCGGTTCACTCTGTTCCTTTTCCTGAGCACTCGCATCCACTTCCAAGAATTCAGCTGTCACCTCTTCACTGATGACTTCCAAGTCATTTGTCTGAGTGCCTGGCTTGAGCTCCAGACATTTACATGTCCTCTGGGTCTTCAAATCCAGTATATACCAATGTGTTCCTCTTCCTGTGTTTTCTTCTCACTGTTCACTCATTCAGGACAGATGCCTGGGAGTCTTTTTCCCTTATCTCATTTGCCTCTTCTCTGATAGGATAAGAAATTTTAATCACTTCAGGGGACTCCTAACTGTTCTCTCTTCTCTAGTTTTATGCCTAATTTACTTCTCTGATCCATGGCCAATTTCTCGTGTCAGAAAAAAGTCAATGTCATCGTGGCCTGCTGTTAGGAAACCCAGCAAAGATGTAACTTGCTGGTGAGAAATGACACCGATTCAGTAGACTTCATTTCTGAAGTTAAATTCATTGCTTCTCTTTTCCATATTTAAAGACACATTTGTATACATGCACCTGCATTTATATTGTGTACTTATATAGAAACACAGAAAATTCATTCTAAAATGCTAGAAGAACATGTACCAAATTTAACCATAGTTCTCTAGAAAAACAGATTATATTTTGTCCAAATGTATACCTTTTTTCTGATTTATCAAACTTGTCTACACTGGACATTATTAATTTTATAACCTGGGAAAAAATGAGACTTTTTAAAGTAAAGGAAAATTACACACAATTCATTAAAGATCACCAAAAAGTAGAAAGAAGTAAAGTATTATCACAAGTCCTGGTGTCTCAGTTGTCTGTCGCTGCATGACAAGCCACACCAAAACTTAATGACTAAAAGCAACAGTTACTTATTACTTCTTATAATCCTGTGGGTCAGGAATGCAAGCAGGCCTGGCTGGGCAGTTTTTGATTGGTATTAGTTGAAATCACTTGTTACCTGTAGTCACCCGGCAATTGAACTGTGCTGCAAGGTCTGAGAAAGCTGCACTCGCATTTCTGATGCCTCAGTGTTCCTCAATGCGGCCCCCTCTCCTTGTAGTGTCTCAACATTCATTAGTCTTAGGTGAGTGCATTAGCACATAGCAAAAGTGGAAGCCACCAGACCTTGTAAAACTACCCCAAATTGGCAGCTTCACTTCTATTGGTCGAGGCAGCCCAGATTCAAGGGGAGGGGGAAGAGACTCCACCTTTGGATGGATGGATGGAGCACATGCATAGTACATGGGGAGGAAGGAGTTGATGTTGGCCATCTTCAGAGTCTTTAGTACTTCTAAGAGGTTCTGGTGGTGCAGTGCCTAAGGGCTTTGACTGCTAACCAGAAGGCTGGCAGTTCAAACCCACTAGCCGCTCCATGGAAGGAAGATGGGATGATCTACTTCTGTAAACATTGACTGCCTCAGAAACCTGATGGGGGTCACTTTGAGTTGGAATCAGCTCGATGGCAGTGAGTTTGTTTTTTTTTGGTTTAGTACATCTAAGAAACAACTGCTAAATATTTTGATGTATTTTATCACACATTTTATCTGTGCAAAGATTTTGGGATTTTAGAAGGCTTTACTTTCTGTATTATAATTATTACTGTATTTCCTAGTTTCATAAATGTTTTTCCTTGTTAATTAATCACATACTTAGAGCTCACACTTTTAATGGCTATATGATGGTCTTTTCTACATTAGGTAATTTAGTTAACTATGTCACTATTCAGCATTTAAGTTATTTCCAATTTTTCACCAGTATTAATAACGCCATGATGAGCAACTTTAAGAATAAAGCATATTCTTCATTTTCTTTTTGGGATTAGAGGGTACGAACCTTTTAAAACTTGCCAGTACAAACTGCAGATTATTTTCCAAAAGGGCTATGTTAATTTGCAGCCATTGTATCAACAACTCTAATTCTGTTATTTCAATTTCATAAAGTTGAATTGTTTGAGACCTTCAACCTGTCTTCCTCTCACCGCACTTTTTACTACCCAGAGCTGTTAATGTTTGTAAGAGTGGCAATAAGGGTAAGTGTGAAGATGGTGGATCCATGACCTAACCAACCTGTTCTCTCTCTCTTCCTGAGACAGACGGTCCCTGGCTCGGAAGGAAGAGTATGTAATGCACTAGAATGTAGCTGCTTACCAAGCCAAAACTTGGGAGCAACTCAGTCTCCCTGTTGTCTTGATCAAATGTTGTTGTTTACAGGGGAATTTTAGAAACTCCTATTGAATGCTTCTTGTCAAGAAGGTGATACTTTATCTCAATGACTTTCTAGCACTTCCATTAGTGTGTTGTCGTTAGGTGCCATTGAGTTGGTTTCGACTGATAGTGACTCTCTGTACAACAGAATGAAACACTGCCATCCTCACAATTCTTGCTATGCTTGACTGATAGTTGTAGTGAGTGTCATTTAAATTGGGAAACCTGTTTTATTTTTACTTTATTTTGTTTTTAATCTGGCACAAGTAGCTCATGAGGCTAAAATACTGATTTCAAAGATTTTTTTCCCCAGTGTGTCTTTAATTTTATAAACTAGCATTTATTGAAGATAATGTGTCAGGCATATTATCTCATTTAATCCTCACAAAAAACTCTTGAGTTGGGTATTCTTCTTATCTCCACTTTGCAAGTGAAAATAGTGAGACACAGAGTGGTTAATTGATTTGCTCAAGGTTACACAGTAAGTAAGTAGTAGGGCTGGGATTCGAACCCAGTCAGTTTGGAGCCAGAATCTAAACCCTTACCACTACACTATGTTGTCTTGTAATAGTGTATTCTTAAGTGTTATAGTGAAGCAGTGTAGAGTATTTATAACTTCTATAATTGGATTATGAAATGTATCTATAAAAGTATAAATTTTCATTTTATTTGGCAGCATATTTGTTAAAATATAGTACTATTCTAATAAAGCTATTTACTTGGTGATATCAACAGGCCGTGAAAACAAGTATTTCATTTTTAAAGTCAGAGCTTTTACCTAGGTATTTGAGATTCATTCTCAAATAATGAATCTTCCTAAAATTGGATTTACAAGTGATTGATTTATCATGAGGTGCTTCTTCATGAGGTGTTACCAGATTGTCTTTTTAGTGTCTGCTTAAACAGTTTCTCTCAGAAAGATAAGCACAAGGCCGGTCCCCATGAGGTGGAGGTTAAAGATGTCCCAAATGTCCAAACTACCGTGCCACTCCATTATTTCAGACATTAACTCCTCCTCCTAAGACACTTGCCTGCTAACCAGACGGCTGGCGGTTCAAACCCACCAGCCACTCCTCGGAAGGAAGGTTGGGCAATCCTACTTCCATAGTGATACTGCCTCGGGAACTCAAGGAGGGGTCGCTATGAGTCGAGTTTGACTCGACGGCACATAACAACAACAACAACCCCTCCCAGTAATTTGTCCCATCTTAGGGTTCTGTATTTCGCTGTAATGCCTCACAGAACTCACAGACACCCAAGGGATCATCTCACATAGTAGTGGTGGAGGCTGGCAGGCTGGCGAGTCCCAGGTCCGTGAGTGGGTCTGGAGAATCCTTCCAATTCTCAGGGTTTGATGAACCTCGATCAGCAGATCAGATGATGGCTGCTGTCCCAAATCCAGGGGTGAGATGAGGATGAGACAAGACACAGAACTGCAGCAAGAGGAGGGTGAACCTTCCCAGGAGATTTGTAGGTATAACCTCCAGGAAGCTAAGGGTGGTGATTTGAAGTATACCCTCTAGCAAGGCAGGACTCAAGATACATTCCACCTGTCGTTGCTCCAACAGCCATAACCCAAGTGGATGGCTTTAACAATCAGCAGCCCACCACAAAGCCGATTGCCAGTCATTATAGGGAACGACTATTACCAGCTGCCCAGCCAAGCTGACACCCGACCTTAACTACCACACCACCCCAAACAGGCATAGATAATAGGATTTACACTACATCCAGAATGGAGGACAATGGCTAGAAGGGCCACATCAAGTCTAATGCAGAAAGAGTTGATTTTTGATAAATTTCTACTAGCACTGTACGGTTCTGTAGATCTAACCAGTAGACTGACTGCCGTTGTTCTTGGGTACTGTCCAGCCAATTCCAGCTCGCAGTGGCCCTGTGTGACAGAATTGAACTGTCCCAAAAGGTTTCCTAGGCTAAAATCATGGGAGCGGACCACCAGGTCTTTTCTCCCACAGTGCCACTGGTAGGCTTAAACCATTGACCTTTTGATTAACAGCCAAGTACTTAACCATCGTGCCACCAGGGCTTCTTTCAGACTGGCACACTTGAAATCTCCAGCCACATTTAAGACGTCACCGTTTTTGAAATAACATTTTCCTAACATTCAGAATTTCAAAACTGAATCTAATTTGTTTAGCTGGATGACTGTAGCATGCATATGTCTTCCCCTAGCTTAGAAAACAGTGATTGCTATAAATTATCAAATGCATCTGTCGGTTGTCTACCACCCCATATGAGGATGGAGCCTATTCTGCTTTGAGGAGGACAGAGCATCAGCCGCCTTCTTCATTTGATCCCTCTAGGTGAGGCCTATACAAAGATACAGGCTCATTCAGATGCCTTTAAAGATGTGAGACCCCTGCTTTTCCCTCACTTGTCCATATTTGGTCCCAGGAGGATGATTAAAATACACGTTTCCTTTTATTTTACAGGCTTTGTCAGCCTCTAAAAACTTGTTTGTTTGCATGTGTAGTTTTTTTGTTCGTTTTTAATGCCTGGTATACTTCTACTCCAGAATTCCTCTGATTTTCTTAAAATCTGCACTCCCCACCTTCTCCAAACTATGAGAATACCTTCACTGTGTCCCTGCTACCTAGCAGAGCACCTGTTATGGGTTATGTCTCTCCTTTTACCTGTATTCTACCTGTTGGATCATTGGATTGTTTTAATTACCAGGTATCATGCAGAGAACAGAAATGTCAGTCTTGAGGAATATAAGTTTGGACCACTGTTCATGAGGATCTGTTACGAATTGGACCTTGAGGAATCTGCCCTGGAGCTCATCAAAGATCAGGTTACTATTTACTGATTGCTTTCCCTGCCAGGGTAATTTCCTTGCACTGAGGATGGGGTATTTTTGATGATGTTAGGGAAGGCATCTCTACCCATATACATTATTTTTGGCTTATATTTTCTGAGAAGGATCACTGGATTGAATGAATCAGCTCTTCCCTGCATTTTTAAAGTTCCCTTGTAGTCAGTTTCTACGAAGAGGTGTAGATCTCTGTAGTACATCATTCATACTGATTACATGACATCTGCCTACTTTGGATGTGGGTCAACCTGGGACTGAAACCCTCTCTTTTCTGGGGCTGTTAGTGGAGGAAAATTGAAAACTGGCTGCCATTTTAAGATGCTTTCCCTACCTTTCACCTGTGCTTCTCTACTTGCTTTTTGTTTTTAATTCTGCTTGAAGACTTTACATTTGTAAAATCCTATTCTGCTTTCAAATACATCATGTGTTGTTGTTGTTATGTGCCATCGAGTCAGCCCCAACTCATAGCGACCCCTCCTTGAGTTTCCGAGACAGTATCACTACAGAAGTAGGATTGTCCAACCTTCATTTAGTTTGGTTTTCTTTTCTTAAAAAACAAAATAACAATAACTGTAAGCAGCATTTGTTGACTACTCCACTGTGCCCTTGGCATTGTGCTTCTTAAGCACTTTGCATGTTTTATTCCACCCCTCATCTGTCAGTTTATTGTACTGTGATAGCTTGCATGTTGCTGTGAGGCTGGAGGCTATGCCACTGGTATTTCAAATACCAGCAGGGTCACTCACAGTGGACAGGTCTCAGCAGAGCTTCCATACCAAGACACACTCGAAAGAAGGAAGGGGCCATCTACTTCTCAAAGAATTGGCCAGTGAATACTTTATGAGTAACAGTGAAACATTGTTTGATATATTATTGGAAAACTTAATGACTATCCCTGTAACATTGTCTGATGTAGTACTCCTCAGCACTACAGCCCCTCAGCTCAGAAGGTACTCAAAATATGACTGGGGAAGAGCAGTCCCCTCAAAGTAGAGTCAACCTTAATGATGGAGATGGAGTAAAGCTTTTGGGACATCCATTTGCTGATGAGGCACGACTCAAAATGGGAAAAAACAGCTGCAAACATCCATTAATAATTGAAATATGGAATGTACAAAGTATGAATCTAGGAAAATTGGAAGTTGTCAGAAATCAAAGGGAGCACATAAAGATTAATATCCTAGGCATTCCAAAACCAAAACCAAACTCATTGATGTTGAGTTGGATTCAACTCCTTACAACCCCTCCTTGAGTTTCTGAGGCAGTATCACTAAGGAAATAGATTGCCCAACCTTCCTTCTGAGAATTGGCTGGTAGATTCGAACCGCCAGCCTTCTGGTTAGCAGTCAAGTGCCTTAGGCACTATACCACCAGAGCTCCTATCCTAGGCATTAGTGAGCTGAAATGGGCTGATTTTGGCCATTTTGAATCATGCTGGGAATGACAAATTGAAGAGGAATGGTGTGGCGTTCATCATTGCAAAGAACGTTTCAAGATCTTTGCTGGAGTACAGTGCTGTCACTGATAAGATAATAGCCACACGCCTATAAGGAAGACCAGTCAGTACTACTACTGTTCAAATTTATGTACCAAACACTAGGAAATTTAAGATTTTTACCACCTTCTGCAGTCTGAAATTGACCAAACGTGCAATCAAGATGTATTGATTATTACTGGTGGTTTGAATGCAAAAGTTGGAAACAAACAAGAATCACCAGTAGTTAGAAGATACGGCCATGGTGATAGAAATAATGCTGGAGATCTCGTGACAGAATTCGTCGCAAATACCTTTTTTCAACAACATAAACAGTGCTTTACACATGGACTTCGCCAGAAGGAATAAACAGAAATCAGGTCGACTATATCTGTGGAAATAGGTGATAGAAAAGCTCAATATCTTTGCTCAAAAAAAGGCCAAGAGCTGAATGTGGAACAGATCATCAATTACTCATATACAAGTTCAAGTTGAAGACAATTAAAACAAGTTCCCAGGAGCCAAAATATGACCTTGATTATATCCCTCCTGAATTTAGTAACCATCTGAAAAATAGATGACACAGTGACCACCAGTTTCCAAAAACCAGAAGAATTGTGGGATGATGTCAAGAACATCATCCATGAAGAAAGCAAAAATGTCATTAAAAAGACAAGAAAAGGAGAAAAGACCAAAATGGATGTCAGAGGAAACTCTGAAACTTTCTCTTGAATGGATATTAGCTAAAGCAAATGGAAGAAATGACAAGATAAAAGAGCTGAACAAAAGATTTCAAAAAGCAATGAAGAAAACCGAAGACACATGGAAACAATTACTTCAAGCAACTAGTCCACCATGTAGTCCTCAGCCTGTACGACTATGAGACCAGAAGAATTAGATGGTGCCTGGCTACCACTGTCAACCACTTGGAGGGGGATCCTGGACAGAGTAGGAAAACAATGTGGAACAAAACTCATCATAAAAAAGACCAGGTTTACTGGTCTGCTAGAGCCTGATGGAACCACTGGGAGTATGGCCCCTAGCTGCCCTTCAAGTCTGGAATTGAACCCACTCCTGTGGCTTCCAGCCAAACAAAAGACAGGCATATGAGCTGACATTTATATTAGGTAGATACACTCCTTGGAGAGATCAAGCGTGAGAGGATAGAAGGGCTGTGTATGTACCGGAAGACAGCTGGGGAGGGGGGAAGGGCAGGCGTGCATGGGAGGGAAGGACACAGGAAAGAGGTAACTATGGGGAGGAAGTGTGAGCAGAGCTGTTGCATTTTGGGAAATTGCAGTCAATGTCATGAGACAAAGTATATGTGAGCTGCTGTATGGAAAGTGAATTTGCTCTGTAAACTTTTACCCAAATCACAATAAAAATTAAAAAAAAAAAAAAATTCAAAAAGCAGCTCAAGAAGACAAATGAAAGTCTTATAATGAAATGTGCAAAGACCTGGAGTTAGAAAACCAAAAGGGAAGCACACACTCAGCATTTCTCAAGCTGAAAGAGTTGAAGAAAAAATTCAAGCCTCGAGTTGCAATATTGAAACTTCTGTGGGCAAAATACTGAATGATGCAGGAAGCATCAAAAGAAGATGGAAGGAATACACAGAGTCACTGTACCAAAAAGAATCGGTTGATGTTCATCTATTTCAGGAGGTGGCATATGATCAAGAAGCAATGGTATTGAAGGAAAAAGTCAAAGCTGCACTTAAGGAATTGGCAAAAAACAAGGCTCCAGGAGTTGACAGAATAGTCATTGAGATGTTTCAACAAACGGATGCTGTGCTGGAGGGACTTGCTCATCTGTGCCAAGAAATTTGGAAGACAGCTACCTGGCCAACTGACTGGAAGAGATCCATATTTGTACCCATTCCAAACAAAGGTGATCCCACAGAATGTGGAAATTATAAAACAATATGACATGCAAGTAAAATTTTGCTGAAGATAATTCAAAAATGGTTGCAGCAGTATATTGACAGGGAACTTCCAGAAATGCAAGCTGGATTCAGAAGAGGATGTGAAATGAGGGATATCATTGTTGATGTCAGATAGATCTTGACTGAAAGCAGGGAATACCAGAAAGATGCTTACTTGTGTTTTATTGTTTATGCAAAAGCTTTTGACTGTGTGAATCAGGAGCAGTTGTGGATGACATTGAGAAGAATGGGAATTCCAGAACACTTAATTGTGCTCATGACAAACCTGTACATAGACAAAGAGGCTGTCATTTGAACAGAACAAGGGACTACTGCGTGGTTTAAAGTCAGGAAAGATGTGCATCAGAGGTGTATCCTTTCACTGTACTCATTCAATCTGTATGCTGAGCAAATAATCTGAGAAACTGGACTATATGAAGAAGAACCTGACATCAGGATTGGATGATGTTGTTGTTGTCAGGTGCCGTCGCATCATCTCCAACTCATAGCGACCCTACGTACAACAGAACAAAACGCTGCCCAGTCTTGTGTCAGCCTCATGATGGTTGCTATACTTGAGCACGTCATTGCAGCCACTCTGTCACTCTACCTTCTTGAGGGCTTTTCCCTTTTTCATTGACCCTCCACTTTACCAAGCATGATATCCTTCCCCAGGGAATGGTCCCTTTTGACAATATGACCAGAGTAGGTGGGATGAAGTCTGGCCATTCTTGCTTCAAAGGAGCATTCCAGCTGCACCTCTTCCAGGACAGATTTGTTAGTTCTTTTGGCAGTCCATGGTACTTTCAGTATTCTTTGCCAACATCACAACTCAAAAGTATCAACTCTTCTTTGGTCTTCCTTATTCATTGTCCAGCTCTCACATGCATATGAGATGATTGAAAATACCGTGGCTTGGGTTAGGCACACCTTTGTCTTCAAGGAAACATCTTTGCTCTTCAGCACTTGAAAGAGGTCTTTTGCAGCAGATTTGCCCAATGCAGTACATCATCTGATGTCTTAACTGCTGCTTCCGTTGGTGTTGATTGTAGAAAGTAATATGAAGTCTTTGACAACTTCAATCTTTTCTCTATTCATTGTGATGCTGCTTATTGGTCCAGTTGTGAGGATTTTTGTTTTTTTGATATTGAAGTGTAATCCATACTGCAGACTGTAGTCTTCAGTCTTCATCAGTAAGTGCTTCAAGTCATTCTCACTTTCAGCAAGCAAACTTGTGTCATCTGTTATCACAGGTTGTTAATGAGCCTTCCTCCAGTCCTGATACCATGTTCTTCTTCATACAGTCCAGCTTCTCAGATTATTTGCTCTGCACACAGATTGAATAAGTATGGTGAAAGGATACAACCCTGACACACTTCCTTCCTGATTTTAAATCATGCAGTGTCCCCTTTTTCTGTTCAAACGACAGCCTCCTGGTCTATGTACAGCTCCTTGTGAGCACAATTCAGTGTTCTGGAATTCTCATTCTTCTCAATGTTTTCCATAATTTGTTATGATCCACACAATTGAATGCTTCTGCATAGCCAATAAAACACAAGTAAACATCTTTCTAGTATTCTT